GAGCTCGTTAGAGCCCGTCTTGCTAAGAAAATTCCTAAATTAAAGACTCTCGGGCGGTCAGTTCTTTTAGCTCCGCCTTGTAGCACTAATCCTGCGTCAACGAACGACTATCCGCTCTCCTCTCTCAATCACCTTCTGGAGAAGAAATCTCACTTGAATCACCATAAAGTCAAAATCGACATCCAATATTTCTTCGATCAGAACTCTATGAAATTCTATAAGAGGAGACACTGAATACCCACCCTCGCATTGGTTATATGTTGGTAATAATGGTGATGTATACTGTGCTGAATAAATACATCAGAGAAATAAGATAAGTAATTAATCGAAAAACACCAAAGGTTCTCAAAAATTATGGACCGACCTAATACATTCGTAGTGGCGTTTGAATGCGATGTGGCCTATACAATGACTTGCGGGGGCCAGCCGATGTACAAGTCAGTGTTTTTATCCTCCCAGACAAGTCTGGTACCAATTAACCGACCCCGGAGGGATGGAAGGCTTGGTTGGCCCGGGCGACTCACGACCCAGGATTTGATCCCCGGACCGCTCGCGTGGTAAGCGTGCCACTTGCCACTACACCACTTCCGCCCCATGAATAATATACACATCGTTATTTGGGCTCGAAAGGCATACACGGATAGCTGCATATAAATCGAACAAAACGACTTTTCTTCACGTGGATGAGTGAGGCGCAAGCTGAAACGTGGCGCGGACCCTAATGAGCTGAGCAACTTGAATTCAAAACTCTGAAATTAGAATTTCAGTATTGCTCAGGCTCAACTTAAAAAATCTACGTTTTGTGAGCATCTAGCCAGTGACCCTCTTAACTTTTTTGAATTCTTTTTCGAGTCGCTGCGGATGACTTACTTATGTTTGTTCAGATCGCAGTGCTGGTAGCCCGTTCGCTGCATCAGATCTTGACTTGGACGACGACGCCAATCTTCTCAAACAAAAGCTTGGACAAGCCATACGAGTCAGACTGGCGCTTCTCTCGGCTGGCTTCCACCCGAAGATGGCTATCAATCGATTCTCAGGCGGTATCGATTCAAATGTCAACTAATAGTACCGATTAGATCAATCACTGCTATAAAGTTGTTCTGTTTGTTGTATTGGAAGCAGTCGGATGGCACTTGAAAATGTTGTAGGCGGTGCATGAGTCTTTTCCGAGAGTGTGTTCCATTGCAGTACGAGGGATTAGGCCGAGCCCGGGAGGTTCTGCTAATTTCAAAGTTTTTAAGACCTTGTGTGAAAAGCGGCGTCTCGGTGGTCGATGAATCTGCCAGGTGCCCACCTTCCTAACCCGATCTTGAAGAAAGCTCTTCAAGACATGCGGCCAGTGAGGCAGGAAGGTTCTTTGGTGCTGATGACGTAATTGAGCTAATTTTATTGCGTGGTACGATTGTGTTCAGGCGCAGTCGCAAGATACGGTCAGCCATCCTCTAGTAGGACACTGAATAGCAGTCCTAGGGATCCGCATTGTGTGGCTGCCTGTACAGAAATGCAAATGTATTGATGCGAAGTGAGCCGGCAGTGAGCAAAAAATTAAAAGAATCCTGTCAAAAACGCTTGGGAGAAGGGATTCACTCACCTTCCTAATCGGCTGTGCTAAGGGAATGAGAGACTAAGCGCGGAGCGGAGAGTTTGGGATGAGAGAGCGAGATAAGAGGTAGCCAGACAACAGCCTGATAAGAGATTTTGCGAGGCTCAAGCGCTCTTGTCGGTTGTTCCCTGTACGGAACTTCCGAAATTTGTTGATTGTCTCTAGGGTCTCCTACTACAGAGCAAAGAGAAGCGTTCACATGACCTCTGCCCGGGTTGTGCCTTTAACCTAGTGAGACTGGAACTCCGAAAGAAATGGAAAGCTGTTTATACACCTAGGATCATCTCATCCTCACCTAGGGCTAAGTTCTTCTTCTAAGGAAACCGAGAGTTTGACTCATCATAATTACATTTGCCCACACCCCCATACCTTGCGATAGCGCCGCTTATTGTGATTGAGTGAACAATTTTTTCACCTATCACATCACGTCGCATTAGGGCCAATCCCCGTAGAATGTTTCTCGTCATCAAAAACTGAGCAGTTCGCAGATGCTCCCACCAGGGCATTCTGCTTTTTCTTCCTAGAAACTGGAAATCGACTTCGATCCTGGGATGCGACAGCTCTCTATGAAGCTTCCCCACATGAGCTTGATGCTTTTAGTACCTAATATGAAGCAGCTATGACTTTACTGGATGACATTCTGAGCTCGGATGGCCCTTCCCCTTTCACTACACATTTCATTATGGGAAGCAGCAGAATGGAGATCAAAGGGAGGGGTTAGGGTAGAGGAGTGGGTTAGAAAGTGGAGCACCGTATTTCATCCTCAAGGATCAGCGAACACCGGTGTCCGTTGACTATGTTAACTCGTCACCAAGCAAAACTTCTTCGCATGTCATTACAACTGTGAAGTGGAAGTAATTGTAAAAAAAAGGGGAGGGGGCGGGGTAGAAATGTTTAATGTTGATCGAGGCTTCTTTGGATGTGTCATAAAGCGACTTTTTCATGAGTAAGAATGCGTTTATGTGAATGCACAATCATTAGATCACCTGCAGCCAGGGTCAAGCATGCTGAGCAAAGATTAACCCTTTCGGACCTGAATTTTTTTCCGTGGAAAATTTTTCTTCTAGCTATTGTTTATTACTTGTGAGCATATAAATATCATTATGGCGAAATTTGGAAGCTATTCGATCACAAACAAAGAAACTAGAAGCTTTGAAAATTGGCCACCTTCTTAGTTTTTTAGCTTATGTCGAAACAATTCCAAATTTCATAGTTATGTCGAAAAAGTTTATAATCTTGCACAACATTACATACATCCAACGTTTTGGATCAAAAATTGAATACAGTAGCGGTCAAAAGTTTGGAAACTTTTTTATTTTTGATCTAGCGCGGCCGACACACAACGAAATTGTCCTCAAATTTAGATATTACATACAAAATCAAGTCCAGAATACGACGGGAAGAATAATTTCCAAAAATCTATAATCATATTTGAGAAATAAGATTTTTTCAAGTAATGGCGCGTCAAAAGTTTGGAAACTTTTTGTTTCCCTTATCATTATGATTCCTACTCTTCAATGTTTCACTTGTTTCTGTTAATTTTAGTTCAACCATTGAGTAATGTGTAATTTCAAAATGAATTCATATGCAAAGGAAGCAGTTTTTCCATGGGAGGTCCTTTTTTAAACCCTACAATCCGGAATACGAAATTGAAATTGTTTCTTAGTAGTTCAGTCTCTACGGAAGCAATATTATCGAATGTTTCTAGCGTTATTGGAGTCGAGTAAGCATAAGAAGAATGATCATTCACAAAAAAGTATCCTCACAAGAAAATTGGCCCTCCTCAAATACTTCGAAAGGTGGTTGGCACGTCCCGTGTCCCCAACATTCCCAAATAAGAGACAACTTTTTTTCTGGTTTTCT